TTAACCCATATTTCAGCTAACCAAGCAAATAAACTATTATAACCTTTCTTTTAACTCCCCAAATCGCAACATTAAATGCAGAATCCCTACTTAGTGGGCCCAAATCAATAAATTCAGCCTGACCTAACTCTATGTTCCTTCCACCATTATCCCACACCCGTAATATCCATTCCCATACCTGTTCTTCAGTTTTTGGCGTATAGAAATTAGAAAACTCAAGTAGTTCTTTTCTAGTGTAGTGTACCTCCTCATGGGTCACACTCTCAACCTCACCTCTAGGGGACCTCTGAGACTTTAGTCTAGTTATAGGTCTAGAAGCAAACAGGGGTGTTGGGGGTGGCTCCTGAGGAGAATCAACAGTATCTTGCTTGGCATATGTCTCAGGGTAGGCCATCACAGTTGCCTCAGGCAGCACAGGGCTTTCTCCTCAGACAAAGGTGGAAAGGCTGATGGCAGCATGGGTTGTAGAGGGGATGCTGCCATTTCTGGGGATGGGGAAACTGTTTCTTCTGGCAAAAAAATGTTCATTAGACTTTCCAAACTCAATATTTCCAGCTTCATCAGGGTCCTCCCACATATCACCATTTCAAATTGCAGGGTCCTATTCTTTTCTAATCAATGCCCTCACTTTAACAGTAGACATCTGGTGAGGCTGTGCATGCACCTTTCATTGCAGATCAGCCACTTGCAGGATAAGAGCTGGTTTCTGTTTTTCCATAATTTCAGCTCTTTCTCTACAGGAGATAAGACTGTCACTCAGGGCAATCTTAGCAGATTTGAGGCTCAGTGTCTGCTTCTGAAGCCAGGAGACAGAATCCCTGAGTTCATCATTTTCTTTCATCATTTCGTCCACTAAACTTAGGAGCAAACAACCAGCTTCATTATGTTTCTTGGTTCTCCATATATAGTCAAAGGTATTTTGTAGAATCACTAAACTCCCTACCTCTCATGAATGATGAATCAGGAGTGTCAAATGCATTTATTTTGCATAACTCTCTAAACAGCTCAAGCCAAGGATTATCAGTGTTCTCCATAGTATTAGAAGTAGAGTTCTAGAATTTTTCGTTCTAATCATATTAAGCAGCCAACTCCAGAAACCCCAAAACCAGTGAAAGAATTCCATCCTTAATATTCTATTCCTCTAGAACCACTCCTGGTACCAAAATCTGTATGAGTCAGGGTTCTCTAGAGGGATAGAACTAATGAAATATATACACATGCATATATATATACAAATGCATGTGTATATATATGTGTGTGTGTATATACGTGTATATATATGCATGTGTATATGCATGTGTATATAATGTGTGTGTATATGTATATAAAATATATATGTATATAAAATGGGGAGTTTATTAAGTATTAACTCACATGATCACAAAGTCCCACAATAGGCAGTCTGCAGGCTGAGGAGCAAGGAGAGCCAGTCCAAGTTCCAAAACTGAAGAACTTGGAGCCCAACGTTCCAGGGCAGGAAGCATGCAGCACAGGATGCTAGGCCAGTCTCTCTTTTCACATTTTTCTGCCTGCTTAAATTCTAGCAGTGCTGGCAGCTTATTAGATTGTGCCCACCCAGATTAATAGTGGATCTGCCCTTCCCAGCCCACTGTCTCAAATGTCAATCTCCTTTGGCAACACCCTCACAGACACACTTGGGATCAATCAATACTTTGCATCCTTCAATCCAATCAAATTGATACTCAGTATTAACCATCACAGTCATACATATTACCTTCAGGAAATCATCATTGAGCTATTTGAAATACACACATAGAAACCTAAAGAGTACAGTGGTTATAAGAAATGGGCAACAAGAACCAGGCTCCCTTACGTTTCTAAAGTTCTTTCATTAATCCAGAAGAAACAAACCTACCAGCAGGATTTTATCATAATATCTAAAAAATATTCCCTGGGAGTAATTCAGTCCTATAGCAACATGCTTTCATGGTTTAAACTTCTAGTTACATTTAGTGCAGAGCAGAAGTAATGCATTAAATGTTTCCTCAGTTACCAAAAGGAATGAATACATCGGCCAATGTTTCTAAGCAAGTCCTATGCCAGGAGAAGAAAATTGATTGGCAAAAAAATACTATTTTATTTTTTAAAAAATTTAACTGTCCCCAAATTACAAAAGCATATCAATCCAGTATAGCTTCAGATTTGCATTGCTTACATACAGATTAATAGTGCTTATGTTTATTTTCATAACTTCCTCCACCAAATTATTTGTTTGGGAGATCAATACATATTTTGCATTGCTTATAAGTAATTAAACATGACTTTTTCCCCTTAGATTGCTAATGTACTTTGGATCTTTTATTCTAATAAACTTTTCAACTTTTTCTTCTTTAACTTTCATGGTGCCAAAACTAAATTCTCTAATAGAAAAATAATGATAGAAAATAAACTTACCTTTTAAAAATAAATTTAACAGTTCATCTTTCACATTTCATGTTCTGATTTGAGCTATCAACAAATAATCTTACCCACGATATTTCTAAATCTAAATGTTCTGGAAAAATATTTTGTTTGATTTTCACCATTTCATCATATCATAGAAGTTTAAAGAGTTTATTTTGGCCATATGTACAAGAAGAAACTGTGTTACATAGCTATGGGAATAGACAGGATGGAAGATAGATGGTAGAATGGGAAGGAGACCTTTTGAAGTCACTCAGGTTATTTTCATATGCAACACACTCTTTAACAGAAAATAATGACAAAGTGTGGTAATATGTAATTTATTCGGCACTTAACATTTTAAAAACACTTCCTTGTACTTTGTTTTATGTGCACAACGTTTGATTTATACTAAGTCATCAGGTATCAAATATCGATGTGGCAAGTGACAGACAAGGCAATAGACTGAGATACAAAACTAGTAGTTGGATAGGTGGGTAGGTACATTAAAGAGATTAGATAGGTAGATAGATAGATAGATAGATAGATAGATAGATAGATAGATAGATAGATAGTTTTTAGAAATAAAGACTTATTTTAGAAATAAGATAGATTGATAATGGTACTAAGGTATACAAAATTGTTTTTTCTATATCATGAGTTACAATTCCTTTTATAAAGTGTACCAGGTCATAAACAGCTGATTTTCTACATTATCTTTTAATACTTTACACTCACAAAAAAAAACAGTGATTTTCTTAAAAAATAAACTAGACTACGTTTGGCATTAATCATGTGTCATTAAACAAAGCGATCTGACACAAATACATAGCATAACCTAGTGTTCAAAATTAAACACCAAATTCAAAAAGACTATTTGTGATTGATTCTAGAATATGCTACGGCATTTTTCCATCCATGCAATTGATCATACATATCTAAGAATTTTTAAAAATTCCTTGAGAGATTGACTTGAGAGAAGAAAAAGCAAAATATTTTTTCACTCAGGAACATAGGATATTTTCCAAGTTTTTAAAATAAGAGTATTATATTAATAATTTCTGCATTTCACAGATTTAACATTTGTATTGTTACTTTTCTAGAGGCTTTAGTCATTTTGCTCGGCCCATTACAAATCTTATTTGAGAGCTTGAAACATACATTAATTTGATTAACCAAAGGTCTTGATACATCATTTTTCTATGACGCCCCACTGACCTTTAGAAAAGTTGTGTTATTTTCTTTATGATGTCTTATCTGATCTCAAAAAGAACGTGAACAAAAGACAATAAGCCTTTGCACTCTGAATCTCAAGGTGACATTTAAGACTGACATCCAGCTAGCAAAGGTACATCTCAAAATTTATTCTTGTCCCATGGGGATAAGCAAATCATTAATATAAGAAGGTATCAGGCCATTAAGTGCTTTAAACGTCAACAATAAAACTTTAAAATCAATGCGAACCTTGACAGGAAGCCAATATGAAAACTGGAGGACAAAAGCGATGTACTTTGAACAGGTAAGTAGCCTCACACTGTGAATGAGCTGAACCTTGGAGATTGATTTATCAAAAAATCAAAACATCTGGATGTTGAACCAGTCCAGTCTCTGTGATTATCACATTGCAGTAGTTTCAGTACTACTTGCATGTCTTTACTCAAAAGATGTGCTGTAGAAGATGATGGTTAGCAAGAGCAGTATTTTACATTGAAACCAATAACTAGGCTTAAATTAATAAGAATACCAACTTTTGTACAATACTGTAGAGTTCACAACATGCTTTTTCAAATAGCATTCCACAAGATCTAGGAACAAGGACGTTCACAGTTGAAAGAATATATTTATGTGCTTACTTTTGTGCTACTAATATTCCAATAATAAACTTTAAATTGTTGAATAAAATAATAAAAAGTGAGAGTTATTTGGTTCTAAATCTTACTTCTAATTGGCAAGGTTTGCAATACATGGGAAACAGTTCTAATTCTTGTTCAATATACTGTCCGTTTGATGACTTTCATAAAGATAATGATAATAATAATAGCTAATAGTAACTGAGCACTTATGAGCCATGCATGGTCTTATATAATCTATTACTGCTATTCACATTTTATGGATGATGAAACTGAAGCACAGACAGACAACACAAAGTGACTAAGATCCTGCAACTTTTAAATGTCAGAATTAGGAAGGACATTGACCCCAGAAACTGCTAAGTAACATAAGTCTTATATATTTGGTCATATATGTATATAGTGTATATGCTATTTTAATACATGTGCTATTTTAATCATCCATATCTTTGTGTGTGTAAGCGTATTTGTAATTTGAAATATTGTGGTACTGCTGTCACATTACAATAGCAAAAATGTAAAGTGAGAGGTAAATGTAGTCTTCAAATAATTATCACCCTTTCTTTAGTGAATAAAATCTTTGTATGCCAGTGTTTATTGGCAAGTGACTATTTCGAACCTCAGTCATTGGAAAAATTGTTTTGTACGCTCTTTTTTTTTTCCTTCCTCCCTTAAAGGAACCCTACAGAGGGTGACTTTGCTTTGATTACACAGGATTGGATAATTATATGACAAACAAGACTCCCCAAGGTGTACTCACATAAGTCTTTATTAAAAGAAAATGGTATGGTACAACAGGAGAAGGACAGTACAGGTAATCAGTGACGGTTCCCAGCCCCTAGAATCCCATCTCAGGCACATAGAATGTGCTTTGTTTTCAGGTTATGAACCACAAAGATTCACATAAACTGTCTTGATCTGAAGGGAGCCTGGGCAAAACTTTACAGCAGGGTCTTTTATATCCCACTACTCACCTAAGTAAAGCCAGTTGTGTAACCAGTTAAGTAGGGAGTAAAACATTAATCTGAACATCTCTAAACAATATAAAAAAGCATGCTCCAAGCTGCACCAAGCCAAGGGTCAGTTTCAGTTGTTCAGGCACGGTGTTCATTATCGAGTGAAGCAATTTATTGAGCAGTAAGTATTAGTGGACTCTTTGGGCATTCACCTAAAACTTGATACTTCTCTCTTTGTTGACCAGAGAAAAAATATACCAGCCTCCTCTGGAAGCAGCGAGGGAAAATTTAAGAAGTTGATATTTACTGTGTATCTTTAAAAAATTCAAAACATCCACCCACAATTTTTAAAAAATATGAATGACAAAGTTATAGTCATCAAATAAAGACGAAAAAAAGGTGAGAACATGGGAGTGAACATTCTTCTCTGGGTCTGGGAGATGCAACGGTAGTGTTCCCATTCTTCACGTCTTTAGCAGATAAAAACAAAAAAAACTGGAAGATGAGAATATTAGTGGTAAGCAATAAGGAATGAGACAACTCATTTGAGCAGCTAGAAACACAATACCCACCTGTGGCTCAGAAACAGTAATGTATAATTAATGTGCTTCCAATTTGATTGGTGCCAACCTGAATCATGAACGGCAGCTCAGGATACTTGTTCCTGGATCAGAAGAGAGGTTTCAAGTCAGAATGTTGCTATGTTCACTATTGTTCCTGCATTGTGAGTAATAAATCACCTTATTATCACCACAACCCCTACATCATAATGGTGACTATATGTTGAATATTTACTTCTAACTTATATATTTGTTGTTGCTCTGGTAACATTATTATGCATCTAATAAATATTGTAACATAATACATATTTTTTTACTTTTAAATAAATAAGAAACAAAATCCAAAGACATCAAGTTTTTCTCTTGTCTTCAGGGTTGGGAGGCTACATAAGTGTTCAAGTCTATTGGTCAAGTAGGTGAGGGTAGATGCAGGCGGTGGAAATAAGTAGGTGGTAGGTGCGGAGAACCTAAGATGAAGCCATATAATTTTTTTTTTTTTTTTTTTTTTTTGAGACGGAGTCTTGCTCATCACCCTGGCTAGAGTTCAGTGGCACAATTATGACTCACTGAAGCCTTATTCTCCTGGGCTCAAGTGATCCTCCCACCTTAGCCTCCCCAGTAGCCAGAACTACAGGTGTGCACCAGCACTCCTGGCTATTTTCTTTTTTTCAGTAGAGATGAGGTCTCACTACGTTGCCCAGGCTTGAACTCCTGAATGCAAGTGATCCTCCCACCTCAGCCTTCCAAAGTACTGGGATTACAGGTATGTATGAACCACCGTGACCAGCCATTTGATTCTTCAAAAAGAGTGAACTGTGGAGTCAGATTCTCATCACTTATAAGATTTTTTACCTTTTTTGTCATATCTTCCAATGACCTTCTTATATCTTAAAGTAAGCTGAAAATGTTAATACCAAAACTCATACTGACCAAGACAGGTATGACAGAATCAGTAAATTGTCTTTACTGCTATAAAATTTTCGTATGCCCGTTTATATCAAAAGTGAATGTGAAACAGCAGGACATCAAATTACTTTGACATTTCTGTAGCCACACATGTGTAGTTTATGAAAAAAACATGAATTCCGATAATGCTGTCGGGAATGTGGAGAAATGAGACTTCTAAAATAGTGCTTAGAATCAGTGAGCTAAATAGTTAACTATCATCTATTCATGCTGATATCTTATTAGTAAGCAATTTTCTATTTTTTTCCCTAGAGGAAACTGACTTTTGTTCATTGTTCCAGCTATTAGAGTGCATGTCTTTCAATTCAAATGCAAATTGTATGAAAAGTCTTATACATGCTTCTTAATCTAAATTTGACAAAGTTTGGTAATAGAGAAATGGACTACCAAATATTTATCTTTCAGCAACGATTATCAATATTACTAAATTGTGTAACAAATGCATTTAACATTTTATTGGCTCACTGGTAAATTTTTGACCTTTCATAGGATAATAACAGCCCTATAGAAAGACATTGCTGTTTCTCAGCAGGAGAAGCTAATCATTTCCTGAAAACGGAAAATATGAACATAGTAGGTATTCGTGTTCATTACAGGAAACCCTGGTTCTATGTGACCTCCAAGCTAATTTCAGCAGAAATTCATCAAAAGGGTTAAAGACCATTCCCTTATTTAGGAAATGCTCTCTTTGCTGAATTGAAATTTAATAGTATGACATAAATAATATCCTAGGCAAAGAGGAAAGTTGTGTAAAGTATATCCTAGTATATCCTAATGAGAATGAGATATCTGGCATAGCTGGACTGTAGGTGTTTCAAGTTATTGATTATTTATATTTGCTTCTCACTTAGGGTGTAAGACTCATAACTTACTTGTACTCAATTCCGTTAGAACCAGGTTGAGCACCACACTCCTTTCTGGTAGAAAAGCCAGTGTCAAATGCTGGGTCCCCTTGATCACACAAGTAATTAAGAAGTTGATATCATGGGAAATGGATGTCCAGCAGGCCACCTTTTTCTTTCTTTCTTTTTTTTTTTTTTTCCTGAGACGGAGTCTCCCTCTGTTGCCCATGCTGGAGCGCAGTGGCGCGATCTTGGCTCACTGCAAGCTCCGCCTCGCATTCTCCTGCCTCCGCCTCCTGAGTTGCTGGGACTACGGGCGCCAGCCACCAAGCCCGGCTAATTTGTGTTTTGTTTTCTTGTGTAGTTTTAGCAGAGATGGGGTTTCACGGTGTTAGCCAGGATGGTCTCGATCCCCTGACCTCGTGATCCACCCGCCTCGGCCTCCCAAAATGCTGGGATTAAAAGCCTGAGCCACTGCGCCCAGCCACAGGCCACCAATTCTAAGCATCGAGGAGTGCTCAAGTTTGGCAGCCGTGCCTGCTGCTATGGTCGTCTTTGCTTCTTGCTGTCATAGAGCCCTGCTATAAAAAAAACTGGTTCTCGCCTATCTCTCCAATGATGCTGTTTGCACTGCACTCAAGTCTTACTTTTCTTAGCTTATGCTAAGGGATTCTTCTCTTAGAAGAAGGTTACTTCAAAAAGGGAAGCCCTCCCCTTTTGCGCTTCATTCACCCCAGGCTGACATCTACCCTAACCTGAAACGCTCCATGCTTTACAGGCTTCACAACCGGCAATCTCTTTCCTCTAAAGTCTTACTGCCTGGGAGATTCTCTGCCCGCATAAATTTAGGCCTAATAACATCTTCAACCACCATTCCTCCTTCCCAGAGATATCACCAAGGAATCTGCTTTCTTTTCAACCTCTGAAACACAGAGTTCTTTCTGCCTCCTTTCCTTTGGCAATACACTATCCATAGAGAAAGCTAACATTTCTTGATAGTAAGGAAGATCCACAACTTAAAAGCAGGGAAAGTTCGATGTACCTTGGAAGTGAGCAAGAAGTGGTCCTTTTGTTTCTTCATATGCTGCCACTGTCCTCAAATACCAGAAAATAATTAATACATAATACTCAATACTATCATACTCTGATGAAAGTATTATAGATAGTGGTAACGCAAGTTAAGGGCCTTGAAACTGGAATAAAGTTATCAAATTTTGTGACAATAAGATTAGTATAGCTGGGGCAAAGTAAACAAGAGGGAAGTTAGAAGACAGTTGTGGAGAAAAATGCATGAACTAGATTTACTTAACCCAGGAGCTACAGGGAAGGGGATTGAAATTCAATTGAGTGTTTTGAGCTGAGGCATAATGTTATCTCGTGTGTTGTTTTTAAGATAAGTACTTGAGATTTTTATTTTGAAATGTTTCAGACATAAAAGTTATGTACAAATAATTATACAATATTTGTCTTATATTGTTCAAGGAATAAAAGAGCAATATAGCAATATAGTTGATGCATCCTGTACTTTTCTTGATCATTATGATCATCATCTTTCTATTCCATTATCCTCAAACACTGGTAACTATTATTCTAAATTTGGTGGAGGTAATTTCCATTACTTTTTACTTTCAGAGCATATTAAATGTTTATGTATATGGCATTATACTGTACATATTACTTTGCATTTTGTCATATAACAATCATCCATGTTGATATGAGTAGCTTTGGGTCATTGGTTTTTGCTGCTGTGTATCATTCCAAAGGGTACAGTTGGGTGTACACCATGTATGTAGACTCCCTGTGATATTATTTATAAAACCCTGGCGAGATGTTACATTTAATGTCACAGTGGATGTACACTCTGTGATATTATTTGTAATTTCCTAGGGGGATGGTACTCCTAATGTCACAGGGGGTGTTACACTATGTGTATACATTCTGTGATATTATTCATAATATCCTAGGGGAATGTTATTCCTAATGTCACAGTTGGTGTACACCGTGTGTGTTCACCCTGTGGTATTACATGTAAAATCCTAAGGGGATATTACTCCTAAATTCACAGTAAGTGTACACCTTGAGTGTACACCCTGTGACGTTATTTATATAATTATAGGGGGATGTTGCTTCTAATGTCACAGCGGATGTACACCATATATGTACACCCTATGATAATATTCATATTATTTTAGGGGGATTTTGCTCATAATATCACAGTGGTTGTACAGCCTGTGTGTACAACCTGGGATATTATTCATAATGTACTAGAAAGATATTACTTCTAATATCACAATGGGTGTACAGTCTGTGATATTATTCATAAAATCCTAGGGAGATATTACTCCTAATATCACAGTGGGGGTACAACCTATGATATTAGCAGCAATATCCTAAGGAAATAGTATGCCTAATATCACAGGGTGTGTACACCCTGTGATGTTACTCATAATATCCTAAAGGAATGTTACTCCTAATGTCATGGTGGGGAAATATACCCTGTGATATTTATCATAATTTTCTAGGGGGATGTTACTTTTGATTTTACAGAGGGTGCATACCTGCTGGTATTATTTGTATTTTAGGGAAATGTTACTCTTAATGTTACAGGGAGTGTACACCCTGTGATATTACTCGTAATGTCCTAGAAGGATGTTACTCCTAGTGTCATAGGTGGTGTAGATTCTGTGATATTATTTTTAACATCCTGGGTGGATGTTACTTCTAATGTCAAAGAGGATGTACACCCTGTGATATTACTGGCAATACCCTCGGGGGATGTTACTCCTAACATCACAATGGATGAGTACACACCATGCGTGTACACCCCCTGTGATATTATTCATAATATCCTAGGTAGGTATTACTTCTACTATTACTTTCATAATATTTTAAGGATATATTGTTCATAATATCCAAGGGAGATATTACTCCTGATATCACAGTAAGTGTATACCCTGTGATATTATTTGTAATATTCTAGGAAAGATATTATTCTTAATATCACAGTGGGTGCACACCCTGTGATATTATTCATAATATACTAGAGGGATGTTAATATGATAGTTGGTGTACACACTGTGATATTATTCATAATATACTAGGGGGATGGTACTCTTAATGCCACAATGGATGTACATCCTGTAATATTTATGATAATATCCTAAGGAGGATGTGACTTCTAATGTCACAGGGGTTGTACACCCTGTGATATTATTCATAATATTCTAGAAGGATGTTATCTTTGATGTCACAGGGTATGTATGTCTTGTGCTATTTTTCATAACATCCTAGAACGATGTTGCTCTTAATGTGTACACACTGTGGTATTATTTGTAATATCCTAGGGAGATGTTACTCTTAATATCACTGTATGTGTGCACCCTG